AATTGTAGCCAAATGTGTTTTGTTTTCCCTAGGGTTGACCCCTGAACCCAAAATTAGCTATGTTGACTGACACAGAGGAGGTTGTGGATTTCACCAAAGCCTCATGGGACCTCACACCCCTCTGTCACTTAGTGGCTTTGTATACTTAAATTTAGCAAACTGCCAAACATCCACACTTAGCTATTATAATTTAATTGTATTATTTACATTTGATATCAAGCATAACAGGTTATGTACCTTGACGTCCACAATCCCTCAGTCAAACTTCTATTGACTAGTTTCGGCTATAGTAGTCATTTCCAAAAAAATAACGTTAGTGAATGTTATCATGTCAATTGTTCTTATAATCCCTAAACACTTTACACAAGAACACAACATTCAATGAATTAAATTCAATGTTGTTGTTTTGAAAATGACTACTTAGTAGTCGAAACTACTCAACAGAAGTTCGACTGGTATACTGGACGTCAAGGTAAGGTATGTAACCTGTTATAATCGATTACTAAATTTCCGGAAGGCTTCAACATGAATTAAATTTGATGGTCACTTCATTTAGTTTTTGACTTTTACAAGATATTTTTTGTAATTTTTCATGTGAAAATCAGCTATTACTGTTCAGCATCAAGGAGGCATGTTTAATACCTACGGTATAAACAAAAATGGGAGGTTTTTATTAAAGACTACGTTTTATTTGCAGTCAAATTTATATTTTTAAATGTAAACATTTAATTCCTTTTATAAACTGTTAATAGGTAATTTTAATTTTCTAGGAGCCAGAATATGGGGTTCCTTAAAAATTAAGCAAAACAACTTTGCTTTTATAAGGAAATAGTAACATAACTAGTGTGCCAAGTGGCACTTTTCTGCACATGAGAAAAATGTTTACCCACAAACCGCAGGCGAGAGTGGAAAGTTTGAGAAATGCTAGTAAATGTACATTAATAAGTATTTATATTGGTCCATAGTTGAGTATACAACAGTGAATACACCAAACGAAATCAAATTGAAACAGCATTAGAGAGAGTAAAATGTAGTAATTTTAACAACAGTCCCACACATGTGAGGTGTCAACTACCAGACAGACCTACTGTTGCGAGCCAAGGTGTGTGACAAATGAAGATATTTCTCCAGTGATGATTTATTCTCCTCCCCCAAGTCTGTCCCTCTATTTCAGATGGTCTCCAATTAGCCCCTCATGGAGCACGTTTGGGCAATTTGTAGTAAAGCTAACATTCTGACAGTTACTGATGGTCTGACTGTGGTGGTTTTAGTGGTAGTTTCGTTTTGGAAACAGTCTCTTTGTTCTTATAGTTGTATTGTATTGTATTCAGTTGAGCTGTAACAGTAACTGGCTTTTAGTTTTGCCTCTTCGCTGGTATCAATAGCTTGTCTACATCATTGTAGTCGAAAGAGTAAGTGTGAAAAACTAAATAATAAAGGTACAGTGTAATTGTGTAATACCCCAGCTGCAGCAAACCTGCAGTCTAAGTGAATTTCTATTTGCCTGATGGGATTTACATTGAAAAATCTCCTTAAAAATATCACATTTATTCCCTACAAGCAGTTACCGGTACCTGGCGCACTGCTGCGCTTAACAATTATTATTTTTAATGGTAATTTGTTCTTTACGATGAATAATAAAAGTGTGTACCAAACATAAATAGAATATTGTACTTAATTGCCAGAGGATAAACAATGATTTTTGTTTTTTTTCATTAGGTGTATTTAGATGTACCTACCACCACATGAGCACGCATGCATTTTCTAAATTTAAACCGACGATAGCCAGGGATTGCCCTAGTGCCTTACATGGTGATTGCAAAAGCAAGACACAAAGGAAATTGTTGTTGCTTAAATTTAGAGGGTAATTTGGATTCTTGGGATTTAAGACTATTTGAGCTTTCTGCGCATGCTGAGGTGCCTGTGGATACAGAACGTCGAGTTATGTCTTAAAATGTAAACAAAATGACAAAAATGTTGGAATGTTTTCCCATAAGGCCCATCTTAAATTTTCAAAAGTTTGTACTCAAATTATGGCGAAATAGTAGTTTAGGCAACGATTGCGTTAAGTGAGTCTTTACGACACGAGTAGAAAATTTAAGGCACGAGCCTTGGCGAGTGCCTTAAAAACTTCTACGAGTGTCGTAAAGACTATTAACGCGAGTTGCGTACACTACTTTACCTACGACCGTTTTTTAATTACTATCAATCTGGATTTAATTACTAACAATCACTACTGATAACTTTTTAAAGAGGTTATGTTTTCATGTATTGTCATTGCCACTGAAAGTGATGCAACGACTTGTTGTATAATCAGCTGATTTCCTGTAATTACGTGTTTGAAACTTCGTTAAATATTACATTGCTAGCAGCATTCTTACCATAAATAATAGTGTATCAGGTACAATTCGGCAAATATTTCATTTATTTTTGGACTTCCACCAACTTAATTAAGAATACGCGAGTATCAACATGAACAAGTCGGATCAACAATTAAATTGGTCAACTGATCAGCTAATCAGCTGATTAGTTGACGTTCAAAGCATTACAATTTTAATTCTTTTCTCTCAATACTTGAACCTCATTGGTCCGTTACCTGTGTGGATATGAGAAAACTATGCGGATATGAAATGAAACTATGCGGATATGAAAGTAAACAGCTGTAAAGTGAAACTTTTCAATTCTAAGAACTGGACTGAAATGGCTACTTTAAAAAACGGTCGTAGGTAAATAGATTTTTCCTGGCTATACCACTGGTCTAGAACTTATTTTTGATACAGAACTTAGTTATTCTGTAAATATAAACGTTTTTGTTAGAGCCGATTCCCAGATCGAAGTAACAAGTATTCAAACTTTACTCGTATTATAGGATTGAGAGGCATTTGAATACCTGAGATAGCATGCACTATTATTATTCACTTAATAATATATGTTAGATTGTGTGGGTATATAAGAAAAGATAACAATATTAAGGCGTTGCCATCCCTTTTATTGTTTATAATACTTTGATAAAGGTTTTTACTTTTTATGTTTAGATATTTCCTAGTGGAGAATGTAAATGTTGAGTGCACAGGTGTGGTGAGATTGGGGTTTAATATATTTTGACTTATACAAAAGTAAAATAGTTTTCTGTGCTGCTTTCTGTGGAAACAGTGTGGCACTATTTCAAATCATGACTAATACAGAATGTTGTGATTATTAAAACCTACAAAACGGTTGGTGAAAGTAAACATCTGCTTTTAAATTATACTTATTTGTAAACATTGTAGTTCCAGTTCCAAAATTTTCTCGAGCAAGGTTCGTACTATGGTCACAATTTTCTATCAGACTTTCAGATTAGGTGGAGGATTTAGGAACTTCACGAGTTTGACTTCTAAAGATTTTGAAATTTTGCTGGGCTTTGTGGGTCAATCTAATAATAATGTCCAATAAAATGTCATATAATGATATAAATCATTGAAAACTAATTCCAAAACTTTCAAGAAACTCAATCCAGCTCTTTTATTACCGCCCAAAAATCGTAATATTACCGCTTTGCAGTCTAACTAAATGGGCTGAGTGTTGAACACCTTCGGCTTGTATCCAGTCTCCTGTCTCCAGACACGTCCACACATGCAGACTTGAGACAAAAGTTTTGTCTCTTGTCTCCGTGTTTCCCATTCGAACGGGAAACAGAAAACACTGTATTTTGTCTCCAGAAACACAGAAATTTGTCTGCCGACAGTCGGCCGACTTACTTGAGACAAATTAGCAACACTCCGGAGACAGTCGGCAGACAATGTTTCCGCAGATAAATCGCCATGTGTGGACGAGGGTTTATAGGTACAGATTTATTTATAGCCTATATGTTATTTTATTTGATTCAATGCATATGTTCTTTATGTATTATGAATAAATATTGATTTCATTTGATTATCTACTAGCATTTGCAATCTTATTTTCCAAAATTCAATTGTTGATTAGAGATCTGTACAATGAGGAAGAGCACAAAAAAAATATTCCACCAGTCTCAAAGTCATCTATTTTGAGGGTCAAGTGTTGCATCTTGCAATAGAAATAAATTATAGTAAAATATAATAATACTTGAGGCTTAAATACCTTTGTATATACTGAAAAATTTACTGTGTAAATCCAAATATTTTTATTTTATTAGCTTACTAGCAGAGTACCCGGCCTTCGTACGGGGTTTGCATATAAGTTGGTAAAATGCTTATTGCAGTTATACTCAAGCTTTGCGTTTGCAATGGGGGAGGACACAGTTTGATAAAATTTTCTTCTTTAAATTTACGGTATACTATGGTGTTACACATCTACTATAGCCATAATGTTCTACCACTTCACCTAAACAATAAGGAAAAATAAAGTATTACAAAATTCTGAAAAAATAACAAATTATTAATCACATTAAAGATTAAAAACAAAAACATAACTTTAAACAATCCTACTTTGACAGTTCTCATTGCGTATAACAGTTCTTTGTTGCTGCTTAGTTCAAAGTAACTGTTTTCATAAATGCAAAAAAAATAATAGTGCTTCACCCTGGTGGTAAATCTTATAACTTTTTAATGCTTTTTCATATCATAGTACCAACTTTTTTAGTTGAAACAGCTGACTAAATTCTTTAATTCCCTTTAAATGTGATTACTCATAAGGTTAACCTGGGGAACTACAGAGCCACTGGGGCGGAGCCCGAAAGGATTTTAAGATAAGAATATGCCTATATGTTAATCGGGAATGTGAGCTATCATCATGCCAAGTTTCAGCCCAATCCGTCCAGTGGTTTATGCGTGATTGAACTTCAAACAAACATATACACAAACTTTCACATTTATAATATTATAGTTCGGCCGCTTAGAAAACGACCTGCGCGCTAATGCTAAACCTATGCTGGAGGAGGTCGCTTTCTAAGCGGCCAAACTATAGTAAGATATTTTATTTGTTATGACTTGGTCCCACATTCTACAGATAGAGAGAGGATTCTGGATGAAAAACAAATAAAATGATTTTTAATATTTATTACGATTTCATCAAATAACATTTACTTACACAGCTAATCAAGTCCTATGATAGGAACATACAAGTGCTATATATGAAAAATCTATTTACAAATAAAATAAGTTTCTTAAGCAAATATTTTCTCCTCCCTCCGCTTCTTAGCCACCATGACAGTGCCGGGCTTGTGTTGAGCGTCAGGGTGATTGAGTAGCTCTGGAGGACAAGTAGATACCGGACTGAGCAGAATCGTCTGCTTCAGATCGTAGAAGATTGGTGAGTCTTCCTTGGTGACAAACGAAACAGCCACTCCTGTCTTACCTGCTCGACCAGTTCTGCCGATACGATGAGTGTAATCTGTAACAGAGCATGAGTGTTTAGTTTAGTGTACGGTAACAGTAAATATGATTTTAAAGTAGACGTATAAAGAAATGTGGAGGACACTATAAATCACTTTTTCGAAATGTGCGCTTATTCAGTCAATTGATGTCGCAGGGGAATGCTAAATGCTAGTGATCTATTTTGAGACAGGAGGATAAAACTTCATCCAGATACAGTTCCATTCCCATCATATATTGAAAAAGGCAGAATTGTTCTTTTACTGTTGAGGCATGCTTTTTGAGGGATTCTTTTCAAATTGCATCCCAGGAAGACATTTAAAATGGCTTTAAATTACCCTAATAGCCCCTGCCAAAGACAAAATGTCGATTGCTTGGGATACTACATTCAGAAAAAGCAAGTGTTCAAGGAAAAGGACTGGTGTTCTTCGGCCCATTTGATCACCTAGAAACAGTTTCTTTAGGTAGCTGCCAATGACAATTTGAATTGTACAATAGCAATTTACTAGGGTTACTTTATTTTAATGTAAAATCTAAAACAAAAAAAGATCCCCTTTACAAAGATAGGCTATTGAAGTCCAGCTTCGCATACTATGAAGACTGAACAGTCTGCCAGGAAGAGTCGTAAAGGTTAATAATTGACTATGATTTTCGTAGTTTGACACTAGTAAAGTCTCTCCTCCAGTAATTGCCAAATCATTCTTCAACACTTTTAGCTTAGTCTTTACAGACACTATAACACCTATGAAAATAACAGATGACCATGAACCTACCTTCGATAGTCTTAGCCATGTCGTAGTTGATGACCATAGAGACATCCTTGATGTCGATACCTCGACCAGCAACGTCAGTGGCCACCAGGATGTCTTTGCCTCCAGACTTGAGAGTGGCCAAGGCGTACTCTCTCTGCTCCTGGCCCTTACCTCCGTGCAGTGTGCAGGCGTTGTACTGCAAACAAACAAAAAATCATAACCTAACCATTACTAACCTTTGGTATTTGGTATACATACTTTGTTGAGTATCAGAGTATCCTATGGTCACCGTTGTAACTAGTTAGTAGTATGAGGTTATGACCTCTTATGACCAAAGAAAAGTTAGCAAAACAGCTCAACTTCTCTGAATGGGGTGTGGGGTTAATCTCTTTTGGTATTTGATCTTAACAGGTTCAAGTATTGCTGGTAAATAATCTAAACTTCTTGGCCCAAAATTGCAAATAAACTAATTTTAAAGTTAAAATCAATTCAAGATTTTTGTGTAAAATTTCAAAGATGTAAGTGTGAATAGTAATTTTTTTTTAATTCTCAACGTTTTGAGGAGTATTACCCTTTTCTTAACATTAAACTACTCTTCAAATGTTCAAAACTTAAAATTCCATTGGAAGTTTTCAAACTTAACAATTATCTAGAATAGAAATAGAAGGTCCTGCAGCACTATTGCAGCCCCTGCTTTAGACTAAAACCATGTAGAACCTCACCCCAAGTTTCTCCAGGCCCCTGGCGAGGACGTCGGCTCCCTTCTTCTGGTTGACAAAGATGATGACTGGAGGCTCAACTCCTCGGCTGAGAAGTTCCATCAGCTTCTTACGCTTGTCCTGAAAACACAAGCATAGTGAGAATTTGAAAATCAAAGAGTACTACCACCATGCCATTCATAATTATTACATTTCAGGTTTAGGCGAACCTTTTAGTTACACTATGTAACTTCAGAGTCACAGTCACATCAAAACTTTTAAATAAGTAAAAATGTTAAATACTTTTGTGAAACTACGGTTATTTGTGAGCTCTTTCTATGGACTAAATTGTGATAGACTCATGATCTTATTGAAGTAAATGTAATAGAATAGTATAAGCGCAAAAAGCCTTTACACACACGGGAAAGAACGTCACAGTTTGTTTTCTCTTAATATTGTTTACCTTGCTAAATAAATAATCAATTTTTGATAGGGATCTTAAATGCTTTATTATGTTTAAAATTAATAACTGAATTGATAATTTATTGATAAAATAACTAAAAAAATAATTTTATTTGGTGAACTCATGACAGCTCTTAAATTCTCATGGTAAAATGTTCTTAACTAAATTACAAAATAACAAATTAGTTTCACAAGAGGCCCAACACCTACATGATTACTGAACCTCAAAATATACAATTTCAAAAAGCAGGTAGATAGTTTCCCAGCAAAACAAAACATATTTGGTAATCACCTGTTCGGACACCATGTATACTATTTGCTCAGTTCTTTCTGTGGGTTTGCCGATACTGCCGATGTAGACGACGGCAGGACGACGCAGGTAAGTTCGAGCCAGCCGCTCCACAGCAGGAGGCATAGTGGCCGTAAACATCACAGTCTGAGGGCAAAACATAACTCTCAGCAATCATTTGAAAAATGAGACTCCAGAATATTATTAGTATTTGAAATAAATATTACTGTGGTTATATATTTAGCCTTATGGTTTCAGTAATTTTGTATCACACATTTATATTTTGATTTTATAAAATAAAAAAAGATGAGAACTTCTTTGAGATAGGTCTATACTAAAAAGACAAATAGAACCTGCTTCGATAAGTGAGATTATCACTTTGCAAATCCCCCATTGGGGGTCAGCATGATATGAACCCAGGTCTTTAGACCATACATAAATACAAAAAACAAATACTAACAGAAACTTTGCATTCCTCCTACCAACCAACGCCTCTATTTCTTTTAAGTAAGCTACCAACAGACCTAGGCTACTCAAAAAATCGCGTCTGCAGATAGCTTACTTACCTGTAGCCTACTGTATTGCTGTTTTTTTCCTAGTAATCAGTTAACAATGTAAGAAGTACAAAAATATTCTTAAATATATATTTTATATATTATATGGTACCTGATAAATCTGATTTTAGTACTTCAACTCACCTGTCTATATTTCTTTTTGGAATTGTAATTGGCGAGCAGTTTGGCTTCATCTTCAGCATCTTCATTGTCTGGCTTGATGTTGGTCACAGGCATGAAATCCAGGATCTTTTGTACGTCTAAAAAAGGTAAATGTAACTAAATTAATAAACTGTAAAATTTTCAAATAAATTCAAACTGATGATTAATAGCATGGTACAAACAGTTAAACCAATAAAAGGAAAGCTGAGAAGGTGATTAAAGGTTATTTTAGATTTTAGAGCTAGTTCAGTTTGCTTACATACAAATAATTGTCATGATAGGTAAACATTTACTCATCTCCAATGACATCTTGATTTGGAATAGTGTAACCTTAAGTGCTGTCCATAATGGATACTAAAAACAAACAAAAATTACAACGTTGAAGGTTTTTGAACAAAGATAGAATCCACCAAGGTAATCTCAGAAAACTAGAATCCAGGGGCTAATAAGTAGTCAAAAGGTCACAAATAGCACACTGATAATTTGTCCTATTATAAATCTACTTCAAATAAATCTTTTAAAAAAAGTTTAAGAGTTAAAAATTGGCACTTTTCATTGATAATTTACCAAACAAATATTTATTTATAAATACAAACCCAAACATGATTACCTGGTTCGAAACCCATGTCTATCATACGATCAGCCTCGTCCAGTACGATGTATGTACACTGGTTTAGAACCAAGTATCTGTTCTCCAACACGTCAATGAGACGACCAGGGGTGGCAATTACAATCTGAAATTGTAAGTATATTTTAATATGTATTGAATAAAAAAAGGTGACGAGGACACATGATCATAGCCATTGATCAAAGGACACAACTTGAAAGACGTGTGTAGATAATACTAAGGAAGGGAAATAAAAGCAGAAACCTGTAGCCTAAGTAAAAGAAGAGTTGGAAGGCGAAGGAATACTTGCATAGAGTTGAAGATAGATGTCAAGAGAGAAAGAAACAACCAAGAGAGTGAGATGGTGAGGAACAGTGCAACAGGAATCTAAGGGATAAACGGTTAAATATTTTTTCAATCACCCAACATCATTTTAACAGATTTTTCATCCAAATTTATTTCATGCAATACTTTTGTATGATTTCCCATTAAACTATGGAATGACAAACTATTCATCTGTTTAAATTTAAAAATTAATTGCAATCACTCTCATGTTCTTTTAGAACAATAGTAGCCTATTGGTAAAGTTTAAATTTCTTGCTTTCTGGAACCTAAATTGGAAATTTGAAAAAATTGAAACCGACTCAAAATCAAACTTACCTCACAACCTAACCGCAGCCTGAATCCCTGCTCTTCCCTCGATAGACCACCGACCACCACCACTGTTCTGATACCTAGCGGTCCTCCGAACTTGTTGGTCTCCTCTTCAATCTGCTGGGCCAACTCTCGGGTGGGTGCCAGGATGATGGCGTACGGTCCCTGGGGAACAATGATATGCAATTACCTTAGAATAAAGGACCTACCACTGTAGGCCTACTAGAGTCGAAGGATATTTCAATCATTGATTGTAGGCCTATGGACACATTATATGTAAGGTATAAGACATTAGTCTATTATGATAAGCAGGGATTTAACCGGTAGAAGACCAGCTATTGCTGCCCTTGGTGAACTACTTTTTGTTGACACTTTTCCATAAGCATTCAAACATTTAAACGTTTGAGGAGTCAAAAAGATTTTGTTATGTCCAATTAGTAGGTATAAATGTTTAAAATTTGTTAAACTTTTACCCTGGGTCGCACCTCAACATTTTGAGACAGACATTGATGTAAAATATCTTCTTCATTACTGTATCATGGACTGTTTTGTTGAATGCAATTATTTTTAATAAACTACCTAAAACATATGCAACTTAATGTAATTTATTTTTCACCATTTTGTATCCTTATGTCAAACTTTTATTATCACTAGCACTAACTAAAATATTAACTCTCATACCTGGTCAGCGTCTTCTATCCTCTCTATCTTGGGCAGTGACTGAATCCACAACAGAAGAGGTATCAAGAAAGCTAAAGTTTTACCCGAACCTGTCTCAGCAACACCAATGATGTCACGATTCTGAAAACAATTAGAAATTAGTGGTTAAGACACAAGGCAATACAATGCGCAATAAATTAACATTTCTTTACTGTTATACAAATCAGGAGTTTGTATGTCTATCTCACAAAAATCAATAGAGTACATTAGATAAAACTCCGAGCAAAGACAAAGAACGTACCAACAATTACTTTTAAGGTAAATTTTCAATTCAATATCGATCTAGGGTTCTGTTCCCGGATTATTCAAAGTTCTGAAGTGGGACTTTTAGGTATTAATAGGTAATGTTAAAACAATTTGATGTTTGTTTACACTGTCATTTACATTTAGGCCTACATCTCAATTATTTAGACACCTGATTGGAGTTAAGAAATGATAATTTTATAAATTACTAGCTGTGTGCTCGTTTTACGCACGGGGATCTTATAGTAGTCAGTTGAAGGTGACAAAAATCACACAATGTTGGGTTTTTTGACATTTTTAAACTTAATTTCTTAAGTAGGTGGGCCATGTATTCCATGGAAAAGTACCGGTATCAAGGATCGTCATCGAAAAGGTTGTTATGAATAAATAGGTAGGCGTACGTACCCAAGAGATGGGCTATGGGCCTATTGGCTGTATGGTCCAGTGATTGCATCACACGGTGAGTATAAACAGAAAGTGACACATTGGAAAAGCGAGTTTAGCATCATCCGTATACCTCTATTACAATCACCCACTGCAGTTGTGTTTTTTTACTTAACACTTTACACAATCGCCATTGAAGCACCGTCAATGAGTGGAAACCTTGTTTGTAAGCTATTGGCGACGATCATTAAGTGTCCCAGCCCTATACAACACTGATTCAAGGTCTTCTTTCTGGTTATCAAAACTCAAGAACAATTTTATACACAAAGAATCTCTGGTTCCTGACCTGGATGATGCCTAGTTATTTAATTTCATTTACGGTTACACTATAATATTGCACTTGCGATTAATTAAATCCGTTATGTAAGAAAAACGTTTTTAATCTCACTTTGTTTGGGATTTGCTTTCAAAACGTGATCGGAAATGATTGCGGTATTTGTAAACAACATTTGTAAACATATCAGTGACAGCTAGAAAAAACAATCTTGATCCGAACAGCTGTTTGTTATTTCACAGATGATTATTATGTGATAAAAATTGAAGGAAAACTTGACAAAAATCGCACAAAACAGCTTTTTTGAACGAATTTGGCAGTGATAAACGTAGACACAGCTGGACCAATGGCCACAAAACTTGGTACATACATGTAGAATTTCATGGAATAGGTTTATACATCATTAATTTCGTGATAACTTCCAGGGCTTAGCCCCCCTGGGATCATCTTAAAGGTAACCATGTCAGGGATTTTGAAATAATATTTAAAAAGAATCAAAAAATATTATTAACAGCAGTTTTAAATAAACCAACGAGTTAAGTTCCATGATGTTCAACAGCATTAACAAGTTACAAAGTTTACCAACATATTGCAGCACTATTATTTTTGTCCCCTGTTGCAAAGCAAAAGCATGTTTACAACAACTAGACCGAATAACACTATTAGTTTGACTTTAGTAGTCCCATATGTCTAATTAGCTTTCGTGATTAGGCTATATAAGGATGTATCCATTAAATTTGTTACTATACCGGATAATAATGTAAAAGGTCATGTTAGCCCGTAGTTAAGTCACATCATAACAGCCAGTTCATAAAAAAACTCAAAAGTATGTCGGGCGAAGCCGATGGGCACCATCTAGTATGTTATAAAAGTGGTAGGCTAAAATCAAGACTCTCTGATCAAAAAATTAGGTCTAAGTAATATTTTTGTTAATGAAGAAACTCAAACTATGGTTAGTTACCGTCAACTAGTTTGGAGCAACGGGTACATGTCAGCTACAGAGCTGCAAATAGTATCATTCTGTTGACAAATAATCCAGTAAGTGACACGGAGCCTCGTTTTGGCATTCAAGCGAGCTATGGATCCATACGCAAAAATGGCCCATACTTAAAAAACCTAACCTATTCTTTACTTTAATTTTACGTCCTTTTAGAAAAGTATGTGTAGAGCTATCTGGAGGCTAAATTATAAAATGCATACCAGTTTTAAAGCTTAAGTTATACTGATGACAGTAAAATCATTTTGTCCAATATGGGAGATTTACTAGAAAAATCGAAGATTGAAAGTTGAACAGTCTCACCTGCAACCCAATTGGAATGGCTTGTCGCTGGATGGGAGTTGGATCCTTGTAGCCGACCTTCTCAATGATATCAGCGATCTCTTGAGGAAACCCACATTCTTTCCAGTTACGAATTGGATCTGGAATCTTCCCACCTGTAACAGAAACAGAATAACAATCAGTTCTTGACAGGTAACAAATAATATGAACTATCATATATGTGTACCTAGTGCTCGAATTCGAGCAATTGGGAAGTATTACAGACCTTGTTTTAAAATGAACAGTCATAATTTCCAATGACTTAAAAGAGTCGACTGAAAGATTATGGAAATACTTGTGATGTACATAACAGTTTGATATAATCAACATTTCATGTAAATATCTTATAATTTTTGAAAAGCTGATCTTGTTTTTTAGTGTTTTCTACATATGTTTGAGTGTCAAATGAGACCTACAATAATAGCTCATTCCCTGTATGGGAAATTCGCTAATATTTAAAACGGAAAGTAAATAAAGATACGTCTTATAACACTTATAACATATATTTACGCTTATACTGTTACTCACAAGACGGTAAATATACAAAAGATGGTAAGTGGTGATCGATTTCAATTGGACACTCCAATCATCATCAGACCCAATAGGCGAATGTATTTACTTTCCGTAAATTTAATAACACGTACAATGCTGATCAAGAAGTTATTTAATATTTAAAACTACTGTACCAATTTTGGCGTATTAGACTTACTTTAGGTTAAATAAAAGGAATACCTCCATTAAAAAATAATCAAAAATAAAGGCAAATATAATTTTTTAAATATTGCTAGCTTTTAAATATAATCAAACATGGCTATCAAGATTTCAGGAAATTACAGAAAAAAAAAATAGTACAGAGCAGCCACATGTTCATATAACTTACCCTTGATTGTTATGTTGTAGTCTTCTCTGAATATTCTCCAATCTCTTTCTGTCATCTCATCCATTGCCTTCTCCGACCAATGTCGGTCGTCCCATCGCTGTTTTTCTTCTTTCTTTTTCACCTTTTTCAGTCTTACCCTAAGGAGAAAATGTTTTGCATTAGTCTAAGGTCTAAGACCAAGAAACAATAATTACGATCTTTATAATAATTGTGCAAGATGTAATCTCAGTAAATTCTTAAGAATTGTGGTTTAGTGGTAAAAAAATCTCTGGTTCGTATGATAATCATGTAGCTGAAATCAACGGTGACTGACGCAGTTCAGAACACAGACCTCCACGAAAAAAGATTCCAGGAGTAAAGACTAGGGAGAAAAGATTCATGCTCTAATCTCTAGACAAACAATGTCCATACTAAACCAGGTAAAGAATGGTTGTAAAATGTGTCGATATCATTATGAATTTTAAAATTAAAACACAACTGATAATTAATTCGATATTCAATCTGGTTATTAATCTCTTAAGCAAAACTAGGTTTGGTCATAGTCATAAAAAATTTGTTAAGGCAAAATCAAAAATTGTCAATAATCAATTAACTCCCAATATATAGCAGATTGCAGAGTATCCACAAGTGGATTAACCACCTGCAGATTAACCACAATCGTAAAAATAAGAAAAAAGTATACTATGGAAGTTAGCGTGTACATTATACAGCAATGACCAAGATATTAACTTACAAAGGCCTCGTGGGGAAACTAAGTTGCCCAGGATTGTTTTTCCGGTTACTTCACGCTAGACCTAGGTGTTGCGGCATTAGGCGTATCACTTAGATAAAATCCATTAGTGAATTAGCGGAATTTGAACGCGGAACCTAAGGGACTGAAGTCCTCCGCTCTAACTACTTAGATAGGGGTTACCCATATCCAAAATTTAGATCATCCACAATCACTTAGCCATTCAAGATCATGGATAATCAGAAGTCTACTGTAGTTTAGCAATATTGTATTAAAACCAACATACTTTTCTTGTTCTTTTTCTGCTTCTGTTCTTCTTTTTTCTAGTAGTTCACCATAAAATTTGGACTGGTCTCGTTTTTGAGCTTTAATATCTATCCCCGCCACATTTCCTCTACCAAAAAACTGAACCTGAAAAAGAATAGAATGTTTTTAAAACTGTTACTGAAGAGTTTTAAATTATGGCTTTATGGAATCATTAGAGTGTTGGAGATAGTAGGCTCTCACATACACACTGTCAATACATACCCTACAACAATGTACACACCTGTTATATACATACAAAAAATATTATAGGTTTGATAAGTAATTTCTTTTTTAATTTAGGTTTTGAAACTGGAAAAAAACTTTTAAAAGCCACAGAATAACGTTGAAGTTTCCTTCGGCTTCCATTAAAATTCATTAGTTCAAATAATATATAAAATATTTAATTACTCAAAATAAAACCATAATTAAGCAAGGTGAAAACATGGTCAAGGAAGACACATAATGAAACTAGATTTGAAGATGAGGACACAAGGTTTCAGAGCTTTGACAGGGGTTTAGAAAAATTCAAGAATTTAAGAGAGAAGTTGTGATTCTACAAATCTCTGTTAGCTAAAAACAAACACATTACCTGGTGCCTTTCCTTATACAAGTTGTTGTAATCCACCGAGGTATCTTCAGAAGCATCCCAGTCGAATACAAATTTTCTATCGTTCAATCTTCTAACACGCCTTTTCTTTTTGATGATTCCTAAATAACGTTCTTTTATAGCTTCTCCCTCTTTTTCTCTATCTTTATTTATCTCCTTTTCTTCAACTGTTGTCCTATCTCTCGGGCGTCTGTAAGATTGAACAGGAAAATCGTGAGGCAAAGGGAATTGTCTACAAAGGAATAGATTGAAGTGAAATAACAAAGCAAAAGGAAATGTTTTTAGGAAAAAGCATTTAGTTTGGATTAAATAAATATATAGGATGGAGAGGACACAGCTAACTCACCTGATGAAAGGTTGCATACGAGTCAAAGAACACATATGTTCTCTGTTTTCATATGTGTTCTTTGACTCGTCTGCAACCTTTCATCAGGTGAGTTAGCTGTGTCCTCTCCATCCTATATATTTATTTAAAGCAAAAGGAAAGTAATAAAGGTTTAAAAAAGATAATCTACACAGCCAACAAATAATTAAACATGTTTAGAATATGTCTAGACAGATTTGTTTATTCGTTAGGGTTAAGTAGTTATATTATCTAACGACAGGTCGACAGTGTCCATAACATATAACAGTGTTCATATTTGTTACTAGGTATAAGCTAACCTAAAATCATCCCGACCCCTGTCATCCATCTGTTTGTTTGCTTCTTTAGCGAATTCTTCACGCTTTTTCCTCTCTTCGTCTTGTTTTCTTCGCATCTCATCAACTTCAGCCTGTCGCTTTCTTAAAGCTTCAGCCGCTCTCTCCTCTTTGGTTAAAAACTTAGGCTGCAAAATAATAAGGACTTTTATAAGGGTTTCATAGCTATTGTCTATGCCTAAAGCATTCATTTGTGCCTATAGCATTCATTCATGCTTATAGCATTGAGTATACACGTAGCTACTAGAGTGGACACTCAATGGAGGCTATCGTTACCTGAACAGTGTTGCAGAGTGTCAGCGGCCCGAACTAATCCACCTCGGGCATGTCGGTAAAGCAGTTTGGTTGTTTTATAATCTATTTACTTATTTAATACGCAAGCAGGATTTTTGTGACAATTACTCCTCCGAAACTACTGAACCGATTGACATGTTTTTGGTGTCATTGGAAAGAGCGTAACGTGAAGTTGTGCAGGAAACTTTCTTTTTGGGGAAATAATTAGAGAGAGAGGCCTGGGGGCCCTTTGAAGTTTCGTATTTCTCCATAAGATTAACATGGAAAACAAATATTGTTATGGAACTACAGCTGTTGTCAGAAATGCTGTTCTGCTATTTAATTTAATTTGTTTACAAGGAGAATTGTTTCTTGGTACCATGTGGTCAATGAATTATACTTTTGCATATATTTTAAATGCTGTACACTATATAAAATGATAGTACTGTAATTAAGAGATCTTAATTTAAATAATCAATAAGCAGGATTGAGCTTTTGCCTATATGTTTCCTGGGGCCCATTTCATAATAAAGTACAAACTAATATTATTAGTAAATCAGCTGATCGCCCAATGCAAATCTAATGGAAATTACAAGTTACAAGTTGTAACTTGTAACTTGTAGTTTATTATGAAATGGGCCCCAGGTAAGTGTGTTGTAACTGTTGCTCATAGTATATAATATTATAGTATCTTAAAGTAAAACCGAATTATTCTTTTCTGCATTCTCACCCCGTAGCGAAGCACGGGCAGAGCAACTAGTACATTTTTAATACTAAACAATTTAGAGGTCCTCAGAGGTGTACTGCACTTTCTACAAGCTACAGAAAGAAAAAAAAAATTGGAATTTTTAAAATCTACATTGCACAACAATACAGAAGAAATACACAGGGTTTTTATAATGTAATTTTTAAAGAAATGTTGTGAGAATTAAAGCAAGCAAAAGGAAATTTGCTTGGGGGTATGTATGCAGGATTGCAGAGGTTTTTTTTTTCTTTGAAAATGTTTTAACATAGGCCTAAGTTTAAAGTTACTACTAGTAGGAAGTTATAAATAAGTACCAAACTCATTTTTTTGTTTGTTTTAGTAACAGGTTTTGTTCAGGAAGTTTTTGAATTTTCAACCTGGAAAACCTGGAATAATTAATTGTCTGTGGTTACTGATAGTTTTTTTCCTTTATCACGATTTTCAATACTAGGCCTACAAAAATTAAAAAAAACCTATATTTTCTGGTAGATTTTGTTAACAAATTTTGAGTTCTAGGTTCCTTAGAAAAGTCTAACGTACAGGCCTAATTCAAAGAATTTTCCCTGGTCATCAAAATTCACATACTTTCCCGGATTTCCCAGTAGGCCTATCTAGGTGGACACCCTGCATTTTATTATTAGGCCTACCTTACTTCTCGCTGCTTCCTCAGCCTGTTTTTTGGCCAACAGTTCTTCTAGGGACAAAGGTTCCTTTTTGATGGGATTGAGTTCTTCATCCATAGGCTCTTCTTTTTTTACCACTCCCTCTTCTTCCTTTTTCACTGCAGGAGGCCTAAGTTAGGGATAAAACAAATTAGGAACACAGCATCAAGCATGACACTTTTGTGAACAATCTTGCCTTAAATACTAAACAATGTATAAAGAGCAAGGTATAATTTAATTAAAGCTAGAATTAAATTTAAAATTGGTTTTAGTTTAGTTTGGTGTAAGCTTAAGTTAGGCTAAAAATAAAACAACATTTAAAAAAAATATAAGTTATGCCAAGGTACTCACACAGGTGACTTGCGACTTTCTTTTGCTCGATATCTCTCTCTACTGCGACTTCTTGATCTCGGTTTTTCTCTCTTAACATCATCCTCATCTCTTTTCTTTCGTTCATCCTCATCATCTCTTCTTCTACGATCATCTTTTCTTCTCTCTTTAGATCTGCTTCTTGATCTTCTTCTCTCCCTATCCCTATCCCTACGGTCCCGTTCTCTGTCCCTACTGCGGTCTCTTTCACGCTCTCTTTCTCTTGTTCGATCAGGATCTCTTTCCCGACTGCGGCTTCTACGAGAACTTTTTTTATCAAGTCCCATTTTCTCCAAAATCTGACCTAAAAGTCATTCAATTTAGTCTATTAACCTAACAGATACTTTTACTAATGTAGAACATACCCTAGTATAGGTCTGGGTCTACTCATAAACTGTAAAAATAAACTTTGTAAAAAGCTTATCTTAAATAAGGGGTAAACTTCCATGTTGGCACAAACAACCGAATGAGTAATATTGATTATTCAATTGTTTAATTCGATATATCGTTTGGTTAGTTAGGTTAAGTTAACCTTACCTAACTAACCAAACAATATATCGATTTTGGGGCGTAATGCCTTTAGCCTAGGCCTACTGATCTTAATTTATACGCCAAAGGGCCACTTATCGCTCTATGGAATTTATTTTCCTCTTTTTGTATCCAAAACCAGTCTTAATTGGTCCGTTTTATTTTAACGTAGAACCTAGTTTACCTACTTTATTTTTAACGTAGGCCTAGGCTAGAAACCTACAGGGACAAGGCCCAACGAACATGACTTGTATCCTAATTGCATGAACTGAAGTATTTGTTTGATTGGGTATTATAACATAGTAAATCTAATACCAACTAACTTACTTCAGGTAATAGTCAATGATTTAGATTCTTCAAACATCTATTAACTTTCTATTCGGTGAGGTAAACATAACCTATCATAAAAGATCTTGGCCTTGGCCCTTGGCCCAAAACAAGTGAAAACAACTTGCTTGATGGATGATAGAACGATCGTGAAACGTCGAGCAGAAAAATGTTACTGCCAAATGCCGAGTGCCTGCCTGGACCCCCTATTTTAGGGGTCTCCTTTCGGACAGGCTCACGGGACCACTCTGTGACGTCATAATGATTGGTCCTTAGATCTATGACGTCATACATAATTATAAATTTTTGAAAAATATCAAATTAATTAATTATATAATTTTGTAATTATAAAATTAAACTGTCAGATGACGTATATCCATGACGTCATACTTAACTATAAAACCAAGAAAAAATATAAAATTAATTTTTAAATTTTTTTATTATAATATTAAAATGCCATAACCTAACGTAACCAACCAAACTTGCTGATAGTAAAAAAATCGTATGAAGGTTTACTAATCGAAAAAATCTGTTTATAAAATACAATTTGAGATGCCTCAAATTCTAACAAAATCTAATCAAAATCTTTGACAAAAGTTGGTTACCACCGATAGCATTCGATCTGTTTACCTATCTTGATCATCAGCCGAGTACGCTATCCACTACACCACGAACCCAGACAGCTTCACTTCTTATCGTTGTGGCATTGACTTTATGGTTGCGGTAAGGTGTTCCCTCAAGAGAAGGATGTCGTACGCCATGACAGCCAATAGAATTGTGCGTCACGGAGCGTCCCGTGAGCCTTGCATAAACTAGACCCCTATTTTAGTGTTTTTTAGAGGTAAGCTAAATTTTATTATCCATGTAGTTCCATCATTTTGAATTTACAAATTGATTAAAGAAGGAGTGGTTGTAATCGATAATTAATCTTTGCTTGATTCAGAATTTTAAAACTCGAAAAGTCGACTGGCACTTGGCACTGTCAGTACACAAAGTCAATTACATCACTAGCAGTGAGTTGGTTAATTCCAAAATGTAAGGTGATTATGGATTTTGGATTTATTCGATGCCGATATTACGTAGTTCTTAAACCTAAAGGAAAGTTTGTATAAGAACAAATACAAAAATGTAGTATTTGGTTATTAAATTACCGTTAAAATATAGCTCTCAATACGAAGTTCCTCAATAAGTTTGAAATGACATTTAAATTTGATTTCTTTTTTCATTTTTAGTAGCAAACGACTTCTTGCACGGCCACGTTGAACAAAACGGCACACGTAAGATTTCTCAGGTGCCGTTTGACGTCATTAACTGCTGACGTAACTTTGAGGGAACACCGTTACCGCAACGATACCCAAAAATGAACCATCGGCCTCGGTGGTGAAGTGGGTAGCATGTCGGGCTGATAATCCGAACGTATCGGGTTCGAATCCTGCTGCTAGCATTAACTTTTTGTCAACAATTTTCTTTCATATCAGCAAGTTTGGTTGGTTTAGTTAGGTTATGACAGTTTAATTTTATAATTAAAAAATTATAAAATTGAATTTTAGGCATTTATAATTTTATTTTATGAACAAAACTATTTTTTAGATTAGTAAACCTTCATTTGATTTTTTCATTATCAGCACGTTTGGTTAGTTTGGTTAGGTTATGACAGTTTAATTTAATAATAGAAAATTTATAAAATTGTCTGTTTCTTCAGACGCAGCAGTTAGTGACGTCAAACGGTACCTGAGAAATCTTCCGTATGCCCCACCGCCACATTGAACTCGATGCCGCGGCCTTCGAAGTAGCAACATCGCAAGTAGGGTTGTAACAGCTGTTTTGTTTGGAGGCAGCTAATGACATTTGTGAATTATTTTAGGAATACGAAAGCTTGGTTACTGGGCTATGAAAATATTTATTCTACTTTAAATGCACAAAAATAAATTTTTAATTTAAAAATTGTTTTGGTGTTCAATTCTATAAGTGTTGTTTTTGATCTGTTATGTTTATAAATTAAAATTAATAATACGCAAATTTGTTAGCTGGTGTCACCTGTCTGCCATGTTATCTTATGGGACGTCTGGCGCTAGACAACACTACTTGCAACGTTGCCAATTCTACCAGGCCTTAACTCACTTGATGAATGAATCATTAGGATCAGGCAAATTTCCTCAGGCATGGAAAACTAGTATAGTCCACCCATTGCCAAAAAAATCTAATCCTACTGACTTCAGTGAGCTTAGACCTATATCAGTCTTGCCTGCGATATCAAAAGTACTGGAAAAATTAGCAATAAAACAAATTCTAGAACATTTAGAAAAAGAAAAAATCCTTCCAAAATTACAGTCAGGGTTTAGAAGAAACCACAGTACCTGCACTGCATTAGTGAATATGTTTGCAGACTTGTTTGAGGCGAGGGACCGGGGCAGGTGTAGCTCTGTTGTGATGCTTGACTATTCACAGGCGTTTGACTCTATAAGCCACAGTTTCCTTCTTGCTAAATTGGGACATCTTGGTTTTATGGATAATGCAATTGCTTGGATGCAGTCGTACTTGGAAAAAAGAGAACAGGTGACTAGAGTGGGAGCTGATGTTTCACTTCCCCTTGACAAAGTCCGGGGAGTGCCGCAGGGGAGCTGTCTGGGTCCCATTTTATTCACCCTGTACACTGCAGACATATCCAATTGCGTGCACTTCTGCAATGTGCACGCCTATGCAGATGACTGTCAGATGCATTTATCCTATGATGTCAACTCAATTGACCAAGCTGTTGCGAGAATGAACTTGGATTTGGCGAATGTCAGTGAGTGGTCCATAAAGCATGGTCTCAAGTTAAACCGAGAGAAATGCACTGTTCTTCATATTGCTCCGCCCAACTATGTTCAATTGATCATTGATGGAGACGTGCAGGTAAAACTTGATGACGTGGAGTTGAAGGTGAGCCACACTGCCAGGACTTTGGGCGTAATACTGGACAGTGGTCTTACCTTCTCTGATCATATCACCCATGTTTCCAAGCTGGCGTTGGGTAGATTGCGGGGTCTGTACAAATGCCGAACCATCCTACCTGAGTCAGCCAAGATTCAGCTGATTCAATCAATTGTCTTGTCAGTGCTTTACTACTGTTTTCCTGCATATGGCAACAGCATCACAAATGAGGGCATGGAAAGGATTCAAAAACTTCAGAACACCGCAGTAAGATTTATATATGGTCTGCGCGATCATATATCTGAATTTGAAAAAAAAACTGCCGGTCTTTTGCCCTCAGCAGCCGTATGCAGGATGCAAACCTGCACTCTGGTTCATCGGGTATTGGTCAAAAAAGAACCAGCTTACCTGATGGAAAGACTGGTCTCCCGCGATCGGGTGTCTCGGTGCAATACCCGACAGGAAAAGCTGTTTCACTTCCCGAGAGTGAGGCTGGAGATTGGCAGGAGAGGCTTTTCATACTTTGGGTCAAAGTTGTATAATGACCTCCCCTGTGATCTTAAATTGCTGGGTGTTCCAGCTTTTAGAAATAAGCTAAAAGAAATGTATAGAAAGGACCTCAAATTTTGTAAATAGATTATGTACTTTTTGTTATTAGTTTTATTTAGTATTAGTAATTAAATTGACAAGAGTTATCCTGTAAAGCAGTATGTACTGAGGAACGCTTGCTAAATAAAGGCATTTTTATTTATTTATTTATTTACGCTAGTAATTAACAAGCACTCATCCATCACTCAATTTTTCGTCGAGATTTCCCTTTGGTGTGTCGGTGGATTTCATTAGTGAAGAGTCAAACAAAATAGCAGCTGACCTGAATAATTCCTTGCAAGATCGTGTTTTCAGACCCCCAATCAGGCAGAGCATAAAATATTTATTTCAAATCTATCATTCTATCAATTAATAATACTGTGAAACATTTTATTATCTATTAACTATAACTTTTAGCGCTGTTAAATACTACATTCAACCATGGTGGAAGGAAATTCAACGGTTGTGATTTATGAGAAACAGCTTTTATTTTATATGTCTTTGTTCAACCTGTTGATATCTCAAGTTTGTCTATGTTTATGGGACCGTGACTACAGATTTGATACTAAAAATGTCTTGAGTTTACCAGGCTGAAGATAGCTGACGGTCCATCTGACGACCTGTTTTTTTGCCCATTTGATTTATGACAGGCCGAGTGGTAACTGGACGGAATTCAAAATATAGTAGACCTCCATGTGGATAGGATACATTTGGAAAAATGTAGTTTGCTATTTTATATTTTGATTAAATTAAACATTATTAATTTCATCGTTTAGACCACGTTGTATGTATGTATCTGTATAACTGATGTATGTTTTCGTGTTAAATATGTAAATTGTTTAGGACTACTTCACTTCTACATAATAATTCACATATTATTATCTATATTAGAAACTATATTAGAAATGATGAAATACATTTGGTATTCAAAAGAATCCAGGTCCCAGGTAGGGTAGGGAGGAGAAATAGCAATGCGACCTAAGCCTAAGTGGAATGTAAAGATTCAAAACATCCAACTCGAGATGCATACCACTTAGCTGAACGCTGAACTCCCAAAACATATGAGTAAGAATTTACCTGGAAAGGTGGATGGCCTTATTGAAATACACCCAGAACTGAAAATTAGCTTGAACTTAAATTAGAAATGTACAGCTCCCAACTAACTAAATTATTATTTATCATTCATAATTTTGGTATTTTAAGTTGATACGGGTATTGTTTTTGGCTACCAGTAAATAAGTAAAAAAAAATGTATTACAATTATTATTGTATGTAAATTACATTATGATTATTATTACATTATGTGTGACATTATTATTATAACTTTCTGGAAAGTGTCAAGAGTTTTGATAATATATATCAAAACCCCTGCTCCTTTTATGGTCCAATCATGCTGGTTCGCCAACTCATAATGAAGTGTATCCCAACCTACATCTCAAAAACCAAATGTTATCAAAGTCGGACAAAGATTACTCAAGTTATTGCGTTCACGTACGTGTATACACATATACAACAATTCAAACGAATTGTGGTTTTATGTCAAGTTCTTAACCGTGCCACGTACCGTAAGTACGGTAATAGGCATTTGCCCTATGAACAAATG